CTGAAATTGGTTTAAGTAAGGGCAAGAGAAAACTGCACATCAAATGTGGTGGTCCTAGCTATTGCAATTTAGGAATAGTTCTTGAACAGACAAACTCACAGATGCACAAACAAATGGACTCTCAGACAGACTCACTCTAAAATACATCTATAGATGGCCATTTCCACAAGCCCAGAAAGTTTTCCACGCCACTGTGAAGTTTTCAATCAATACCAAGCAGGCTAATATCTCACCATCCACATTACCTTTGTACAATTTTTCAATAGTAATCATCAACAGCAAATACATAGTTTAATTCAGTTTATAAAGAAGTATAGTTAACTGATGTCATGACCACAAGGACTCAAACTCTGTTCCTAGAGAACAAAACTCATTTTTTACTTCTAAGTTCCTTAGTGGTATTATTTGTTATACACCAGACCTAGAGCACATCCACAGCTTCACAAAGATCTATTATTATTAGTCTACAAAATCTCTCAGTAAACTTCAAAAGCTCATCAATATGAGGTCAAGGATTTTAGAAAGTTAATACACACTATGTGGTTAAAAAAGCCTTTTCATTATTAAAGCCCTCCAATACGGATTCTCTAAGGTTACTAAGAAGCCTTTTATATACTCCAGTTGTTGCATCAATAACAAACTGAAGAATATGATGTGAAGTTTTCTCAAAACATAAGAAATAAACATAAATGAGATTGTTTTCCTTTTCAAAAAATAATTCAAAAGTTATCTTCTTAATGCCCTTGATCTTTCTAATTTAAATTCTATTATTTCTATGTCATTAGAATTCCTAGCATGTAGTTAGTCTACATAAAAATGGATGGGGGGCAAGTCTTCTATGGCACAAATAAAATTGTTCCCTTCAAGGACAATGTAACATAAGGCGAAGACTAATTCAGCAAATATGGCAGAGAAGGATAAACATTTGTGAAAAAAATAGTAAGAACAAAATATAAAGCATAATTCTTTTTTGTTATGCTGTCTCTGGTATTCAACTTTCACTTCTAAATGGGTTATTACAGGGACAGCAATTTACATAAAACAGATTAAAGATTACAGAAATGTCAAACTCTGCTTCATTACTCTAAGCAAGAGATGGAAGAAGAATCCTGTCAAGATGTCAAATGAATTTTAAGGAAGCTATTAAATGTACTTTGCAGAGATTGCACAATGCAGAGTACACCATCCAATAGTGTGTACAAGAGTATTCATGTTTCCAAAAATATACATGCTTGAAGCTTCTTCAATGTCCCACCATGGGACAAAACCCAGGTCAGAGCTCTAAAATGACTGAAGAAAAGGGAGAGCACACAAAAAAACCCTGATAACTTATGAATCATAATTGGTTTTAATACTGAGGTAAGGTTTGATTAGAATCAGGGAAGGAAAATACAAGTTATGAAGAGCCAATAAATCTGCAATGATTTTAAGACATTAAAATGATCTGAATACTCATTAACATTTTTGTTCAGCATTTACTAGTGTTGTCTTAGGCTACATCTAGATTGCACTGTTAAATGGGAAAAAGACACGCAATTTGCAGTACACAAATTGAATATTTTTTTCTGATTTACTTTCAAAAGACGCTCTTTTGAAATTTAGCACACCTACACAGTGCCAAATTGCGAAAGAAAGTGCTCTCTCGAGCCATCCCTTATTCCTTGTAGATCAGGGATGGCAAAAGAGCGTGTCAGCTTTTTTGAAATTTTTTCTGAAAAACTGGATGCGTTCCTTGGACGAGGCATTGTATTTCCAGGATACCAGTGATATCCCGAAAAAGCAATGTAGTCTAGACGTAGCCTTACAGTCCTGAAATACATAATTTTGAAGAACTTTAAAAAATGTATTAAAGGTTATCTACTTTCACAAAATTTTATAACTACTGCTGGCTAAAATTTCACTTGCAGCCATACACATCAATGCATCAGAATAAATATAGCACCCTCTTCTATATCAAAAGTACATTAGAGGATCTATTTATCACTGTGACCCTGGCAGACCAGGTACTAGTTCATGCCAAGATTCCCTGGCCTTAAATGAATACTGACAAATACTCCACGGTAATCAGTCTGGCTCACTTGTGCTTTATTATTGTTAAAATAGTTATTAGAATTACAAGAACAGGTTTAGTCTTTATTGATTTATTTTAAGTTGCTGCATGCATTAATCTCATTTATAAAATCTTTAAGATAACATATGAACATTGGTATTGTCAATTTCTGTAACTAAATCACCAGACAAAACAGAGACTAACAAGTGTTACATGCCCATCTGCAATCAAAGGTATCATGTACTGCCCAACTGGGAAAGTCCCTCTACATCAGAGACTACTGTGAGGCATTATTGAGAAGAAAATATTGTTCTGATGCCTCCCGCCCACATGGAGATGATTCACGACAGTGAATTCTTCCCATAAGCTGAGTTTAGAGCTCGGAGCACAAGGAAAGTGAGATTCAAAACACCTATAAAGAAGGTATTGGATGTCTATGCTACTTGACCTCAGAGGGTGGGGGAGGGGAGAAGAGAAAAAGAGGGGGAGGTTTCTAGGCATAAGCAAAGGGATCCCCAGCTGCTTAGGCCTAAAGGACAGAAAGCTTCATAATATAGACACTTCTATCATTCTTTGAAATGTAAGATTTTAATTCATTTATGTATCTATGTGACAAAGCTCTTCCTTAAGCTTAGTGGGTCTTGCACTTCCAGGCAGCTTACTTGCCTCAAAGGTTCACAGCACTTTAGACACCAGCTTGCTGTTTGCTGAGCTACTCTCATCATTGGCCAGCATATGGAAAAGAGGGGAATCAAACTCCCAGTCTCTGTGGCAACTGCAAGTGGTACAGGGTAGGACAAATGCTTATACCAGAGCCAGTCTCTTCCTAGATCTGAAATGAGGAGTTGCGGGGAAGGAAGGGGCGCAGAGCGGGGAAGACGTGGACCTGCCCTCTAGTCCAGGTTCCAACTCAGGGAATCTCTAGAGCAACTTTCTGTAACATTTCTAGTAATATCTGTGTGACAGCTACAAATCCTTGAGCCACTTCCCCCAGCCTTCCCCAGCACCTTCATTACAGGTGGTTTTTCCCTCATGGTATCTGCTTGCACTTTCTTCTCCGAAACGCTCCACCACACTTAACTTTCATCAGCTCCTTCCTCACACACTGAGCTAACAGAAGTGAAGCCTTTTTAAACCAGTCTCAACTGGTCCTTAAATTGGTCTTTTAAATATAACATGACCTAGGTCTGCTATATACATTTAAAGATACCTAAACCACTCAGTCTTCCTTCATAAGAGACATAAAGAGAGTTTTCATATAGAAAAGGAATGAATAACAATGTGCTGTAAGACCAAAAGTTGTGACAAAGAAAGACTCCCAGTACAAACTTAATCTATCCCTTCAAATTCTCTTAGCACACAGGCAAATATAAAAGTACATTCCAGACAGGAGCAAGCACAGAAACACATTTTGCTTTATGACTAGTATGGCCAAAGCTCTAATATTATTATTTAGAAAAGTGATCCTCAGTTATAAATTCTTATGCTTTGTATAAATTTTATACAACTTACAAATGTGTGAAACTTATTTTTCTTCTCACTAAGCACACATGACTACTTCAGACATAAGTTCAGAGTTGAAATGGAAAGGTTTATTTCTTAATTATGAAGGGTTATTGATGTGTGAGATATTGGCTAAGTGGCTATCAAAGACCTAGTTACAGGAAATAGGGAGATGGTTAGCTCTCTCAAACTGTGCTTAATTTGCAATGATAAAGCCTTACCTAGAGTACTGTGTCCTTGTCTTAGAGCCACATTCTAGCCTACACGTAGACAAATTGGAGAAAGTCCAGAGGGGAGCAACAAAAATGATTAAAGGTCTAGAAAACATGACCTATGAGGAAAGATTAGAAAAAATGGTTTGTGTGTGGTCTTTTATTTTTGTTTTTTCATTGGGAGAATATCAAGGGTTGACATTACAGTTTTCAAATACTGTAGGTTGTTACAAAGAGGTGGGTGAAAAATTATTCTAATTAACCTCCAAAGAGAGGAAAAGCCAAGGCCTTACATTGGAACAAGGGTGGTTTAAATTAGACATTAGGATACATTTCCTAACCATCAAGATGATTAGGCATTGTAACAAATTGTCAAGAGATATTGAGGAATCTCCATCACTAAAGTTTTTTAAGAATAGGTTAAAAAAAAATCAGGAATGGTCTAGTTATTATGTAGTCCTGCTGTGAGTGCAGGTGACTGGACTAGGTGACCTCTTGAGGTCCGTTTCCCTTCTACAATTCTACAGCTTCTTATTGCATGTATAGTGCTATATGAGATTGCTTGTTTCCTTCTATTCCACAATGACTAACAAGTGAAGTTTCATTTCAAATTTTGAATGAAACAATGCCACCTTTAAGACTGGAGAAAGAAGGAAATGTTTAAATTTGTTTTGTGAAGTGCATCAGTGTCTTCAAGTTATCAACAGAAATAATTACCATTATAATAGTTCACTTGTATATACTACACAGCTTCATGGAGAAGGAAATCAATCTAACGGTCTGATTTACTGAGCCAGCAAGATTCTACCTTGAAGGTCCAAAAGAGGAAAGAGAAGAATGAAGTATAAGAAAGCTTTGTCAGACTCAGAATGGCATCCTTCCAGAAGGATGAGGGTTCTTGTGATGCAGACCCTTAAGAGTGAGGAGAGAGTATTCATTGGGGTGAATCTTCAGTGCTGTAACAAAAAGATTATAAATAGCTCAGGAAGCTTCAGAATAACAAGCAAGAATGAGATCTCAGGAAAGTGTTTTGGGAGCTAGAGTAATCACATAAGAGACACTGAGGCATTTGCTATCTTCAAGGAGTTAGTGAAGTACTGACTGACAGACTAGTTCTGATTATCTTACTGACTGCTTAACATTTCATTTTTAATTGCAAAGTTTGTGGCTTTAAAGGCTAAATGAAATGCAGCAAAATGTTCTACTTAACACAATAAATAAGGATATATGCATACCTTAACAACAGGATTCAGCAGAACTACACCTGATTTCTTAGTAATGACATTTTTTGTTGTGTAATGATGTTCTATAAGCTGAGGAATGGTTGGAAACCCAGTCCCTTCAAATCGGTACTGATTCTGTAAGGGAGAGAAAAATCAGTTTCAAAACAGGTCCAACGAGGAAATACAAAAGATGTGATTAGCAATTCTTACCTACAAATAACAAGGAACAGATAAATTTAATTTCATAGATTAAATCTTGGCCCCAAATACAGTAACCTTCTGATAATCCAGCACCTTTTAGGACCCCGGGGGTGCCAGATTATCAGATATGACGGACTATCAGAAGAGTGGGCTATGAGGGGGCCTGGGTGGGGTGGAGGGGATACCACCCAAGACCCCTCATAGCCCCCCCTTCTGATAGTCCGGCTCTGCCCCAGGCATCCCCGATTCAGCCACTGCTGGTCAGTTTCAGCAGCGGCTGAATTGGGGACACCTGGAGCAGAGCAGTTGGGATGCTGCTGGGTTGGTCCGGTAGCGCTGCCCTTCATCGCTGCCGGGTTGGTCCCGAGGAGTGGCGCTGTGGGACCAACCCGGCAGCACTCCAGCTGCTATGCCCCTGGCTTCTCCGATTCAGCTGCTGGTCAGTTTCAGCAGCGGCTGAATCGGGGAAGCCAGGCGCAGAGCAGCTCCAACTGTCTGGCAGCCAGAGCACTTCCGGGTTCCTGATGGTGCCGGACCATCAGGAGTGCCAGAGCACTGGATGCCGGACCAATTCCCCACACACCACCACCACCTCTGATTGGCCTTAGAACACATATCCATGTTAGAAAACTTCAGCCCCAAGAATGAATGTTTCAAAATATGATGGCTATGTGAAAAGAGGGATTAAATTCAAACTGCTTTAGAATCTAAGCTATCACAGCAATACTAAGCATAAAAAAATCAAAGGAGTGGGGAAAATATAAATTGCATGTGCATAATTCATTTAAATTAGTGGTAACTTCAGGTATTTAAACATTTATCAAAGGAATTTTCTGCCTTTTAACAGGGAAGAAAAACTGTGGAATAAGTTCACAACTTTTACTAATACCTTTTTTTTTTTTTTTTTAGTTTTGGCACTAAACTCAATATTGGAAAACAGAGATTACCATATTTTTAGCACATTTCATACTGGCCTTTCCATATGAGAAGGATAAAAATTCACATTATAGTACATCTTCTTGTACAGTTTATCTGTAGTAAACAATTACTTCTATTCTGAATGAATTATCCAAAATAATTCTTCAGTTAAATACAAACTGCCTGACAAGAAATAAACATTTAGTTCTATATCAGAGACGTACATCAGCATATTGTATGATAAAGTGTCTCCGTTGTCCATCTGAAAACACAGAAAGGACATATTCACCAGGTTTCCCGTGGCTCTCTCGCACCAAGAAGTCTCCTTGCTGCTTTAACAGCTCCTGGGCTTCTATTCTTGGAATTGCACCATGATACCAATCTTGCTCTGCCAATGGTTTCTCGCTGGTTGATATTACATCAAAAAACTTAAATAAAAAATGAGAGAGAAAAGAAGTTAGGACACTTTAATCCATTTTCTATACTTTGTCTTTACATGAAAAGCATGATAGATGGTGACAAACTTTGACACTTCTCTCTATTACCTGAAGTGATGCATATATTTTCAGAATCCAAGTGAACTGAACATTTTGTTTTATAATTACTAATTCTTAAGAATAGAGGAAAATGTGTATATATGAAAGCTCAGCACAGATCTCTGAACACACAGACAAAAGGCATATCAATAGTACTATCCAGACAATTTCATTTTTACTTTTTAATAAACTTCTCTTGGATGAATTATCCTTCTTGCTCTCACTTAACCTTTGAAATGAACTATTTCCTTATTCACTGAGAAAGGGGTTAAGAATTGACAAGATATTAGGCGTGGCATTTTCAAAAGCACTCACGTTGGTTGAGCTCTGTTTCTTGATTTTGAATATCCTTCTCCTAACAGCCTGAAATCAGGTAGCAGCATTAGGAACCAAGCTTTTCTAGCAGTCTCTCAGGATATGCAGTGTACCTGGCCATTTGATAGCACCATTATCAACCAGGTGATGAGACAATAGTTATTTAGTATTTAGATTGCAATTTCACAGAGCCCCTAGTCCCATTGTATTAGTGAACTTAAAAGCAAATTCTGAGATAAGATACACAAGAATTGTTCATTATTATTTGTCATTGGTTGTAAATAGAGTATGACTTGAGCTTTGAAAAAAATCATATATAGGTATGTATGTACTAGGGAGATGCGAAGCTAGCGCGTCCCCCTCCCCCCGCCCAGCAGACCAGGGAGAGGTGGAGCGGCTTTTCTCAGCAGACACCTCAGCTTGAGAATAAAGCCTGAGGGAAGTGAGGTGTGGGAGAATAAAACTGAGCTCTGGAGAAATGTTTGGCTAGAGTTTCCCCTACAATATGTACCAGTTCCGACTTACATACAAATTCAACTTAAGAACAAACCTACAGTCCCTATCTTGTACGTAACCCGGGGACTGCCTGTAATATGTGCTAGTTTCTGACAATCAGGCCAGATCTACTAGTTAGGACTGACTGTGCAAATCCATGTTGGTGTGCAAGTGTAAGCTGTCCCAATGAAATCATGCAGGTGCTCACTTTTATGAGATAGGCTGTTTGTTTTAAATTAGAAACTCCATTTTGTATAATGTGTGGAATATACACATCTAAACTTGCAAAAGGAAAGCTCTGCCCAGGAAATATGCTTGACACTTCATTGAAAGGCCATGATAGAGAGTCATCTAGAGCATTCATCTCTCAAAATCTCAACTACTGGCCCATGAGCATGGAACAATTTTTCTACACATGGGGCTAGAGGCAGGATAGAGGAAGGGGCCAGTGGAGCATATGGCAAAGAGAGAGCCCCTCCATGTAAGAGGGAGTACTGGTTTGTACAGGGTGAAAACCATCCCCATATGTGAAGAGATGTTGCTGGAGATAGAGGATAGGTAGGGAGGATTCTGTCAGTCTGAAATGCTGCCAAACAAACCTACAGAAAGGACAAAATCAGACAAGGGAAAGGCACAGTCTCAAGAATTTCTGTTGTTCTCAAAGATCTGTAAATCTCAAGTAATCTTACGATTTTCAACTTAAAAGTCCTCTGATAAGCACCTGGACCATTGCCTTCCTGCCATGTTTTCCCAAAAAGGGTTAAACTAGAAGTCCAGAATGCCCACAAGCTAGATGAAATTTTAAGAAAGTGTGTGTAAGTGACTGGGAAGGCTTGCAAGGCTCAGAACCTGATCTTGGGATCTAGGGAGGCTGGAGTCACAGAAAAGCTGCATGTCTCTAATGGTCTGAGCCTGGGAATATGTCCTATATAGACCCAGAGCTAGAAACATTTATTAGACTCTACCCTGAGAGTTTGGAAGGATGTGACACACAGCAATTGGGTCCATTCACAATAGATTGGAAGAAAGCCAGGATGTAACACTTATCACGTGAGTAACAGTGGTACAATCTAGCCTTTCGTGATTAGAGGGTGAATTTCTCACCCAACTTCTTTATAAAGGACCTATTAACAAACAAAGTAAAAGACAGCACTACCTCTCAGAATCATATTTCCTTCCTAATTTTTAATATTTTCATTCAAAATCAGTTAAAAAAATGAGACCAGATTCCTCTACCATTTTTTAAATTAAATAACAAAATATTCTCTTTTGAAATTACCCACACATAAAATAAACTTTCACAATTATTAGGGGGGAAAAAAATCTCATAAAAGGTTAAATTAGTTGAACGTTTGTGAAAGATGCTGGGATTGACAGATTAAAAGACTGCATATTCCCTGAACAGCTGCAGGATACTGTCAAGGCTGCAAAATCTTCCATGTATTACCTCAGTGCTACCCTGGATAGAACTTCCCTACTGGTAAGAAGATTGTACGGTTTTAACAACCATTTCATGGCCTCCCCGCTGAAATGTGTGATAAAAACTGCCATTCGGGATGGACAGTGTAATGATGACACTAGGTCACTAAGAAGAAAACAAACACACTATGCCACACAGTACAGTCTATAGAAGACAAACAAGCAAGTCATCAAGTGGTAACCTTTTTTCACTTCCAACCTGAGTCATGTCTGAACCAACTTCCATGACTATCGCTTCATGTGCTCAGCAGAAAATATCCTAACAGTCCTTTTGACACAGAGAAGATTTAGAAGACAGAAAATAGGAGCTCAGCCTTTTTTTCCCCCCCTTGATTGCTATTTTTTTCCCTAAGAACTTGCATTGTACTTGGATAACATGTGGAAAAACTGTTTAAATGCAGTTAAAAATCTTGGTTGGATAGCCTCACTAAGGAGTTTCACATTTCACATTATGTTTTATTATTAACTGTGGCAATTTTTACTAAGGCCTAATTATCAATTAAGTAATTCTTCACAGAAAAAAAAATTGCAATCTAAACCTCTAAATGATGGCGCTGTGTATGTTATATAAATTATATAACTTCTGAATGAACAAATCTCCTCACTCGTAATAATATTATTGTATACATTTATTCCACACAATAATCATGTAATTAAGCACTATGCTTTAAAGCAGGAGTGGGGTATCACAGTCCTGGGGGTCAGATGCAGTCCCTGGCTTGCTTGGATCTGGCCCCTGAAGCTCAGGCCTCCCCCCCCCCCAGCATTGGGGAGTCCGCGCTGGTGCTCCAGGCCCCCAACCCTCCTACCCCACCGCAGGGCTGGAACACGCAAAATGTACTAGACTGGTCCCTCTACCCCCAAGTTCTAGTGTGTGAGGGGAATGTGAGGAGTGTCCTTCTCCTGCTCCGTCAGGGGCCACATCAGTGATGTATGTGGCCCATGATTGAGGGCAGCCAGGGCCGGCCTTAAGCCGATTCTGTCGAATCGGGCCCCACGCCTAAGGGGGCCCTGTGCCCCTGCATCCAGAAGTTGGCTCGCTCAGCTCCCCCCCGTGTTTACCTGCGCATGCTGCCAGCTGCTGCTGCCCTGCGCACCGTTTGCAGGTGGGCGGGGAGACGCACGGGCGTGATGTGATGTGACGTGACGTCATGCCTGGGATTTTAAAACTGAAAAGTACCATGCCGCCACTGCCACGGCGCACGCAGTTCGCAGTCCGGCCCCCCAGAAGGTAAGGGAGAGGTGGCAGGGGCTTGGACTGGGTGGGAGAGGAAGGGGCTTGTATGGATGGGAGGAGGGAGAGAAGAAGAGGCTTGTGCAGAGGGGGAGGGGCTTGTATGGAGGGAAGGGAGGAGAGAGAAAGAGGCTTGTGCAGAGGGGGAGGGAGAAGAAAGGGGAAGGTACCAAGAGACAGGCTGGAGGTGAGACAAATGCCAGGGGGCCAAGTGGAGACAACGAGGAAAAGGGCAGGAGGGGGTGATGTGGGAGAGGAGAGGGGAAGATGCTGGGAGAAGGCTTGAAAGAAGGAGTGAGCATGAGAAAGTTGGGAATGGAGCAAGGCATGTGTGAGGGCACAGGGGCATGAGGAAAACAGGGGTAGAGAGTGGTGAGGTGATAGGCATCAGCGAAAAAGAGGGCAAAGGGGACAGGGGCAGTGAGGGAAGGAGCAGCACCAGGAGAGTGCAGGGGTAAGGGAAGGTGCAGGTGCCAGGGGATTCTGGGGGTGAAGCAGAAGGGCAGACACCTGCAGGGGAAGGACCAGCACCTGAGGAGAGAGGCAGGGCAAGTGTGTAGAGGGAGGTGTTAGAAGAGGGGATGAGCTCACTTGATCAGAGTGGGGCTACTGGAGGAGTGGGCACAGGGGGGAGAGAAGGGCTGGTGGAGGGGGGCAGGTCGCATGAGGGCTGAGGGCAGTGAGAAGGGCAGGAGTCAGGACAGCAGAGGAGGGTGAGGAGTTGGGGGCCAGCAGGCACCAGGAGAGATGATGGAGCAAGGAGAGGAGACATGGAGGCAGAGAGAAAAGGTAAAGGTTTATAAAATATTTATTAATAACGTGGTATGCTGCCCACGGCCAGTTTGTTTGAGCCCCACGCTGCAGTTCGGGTTTATGTGGGGATCAACACATGGCCGGGGAGTGGGAGCCAAAACAAAAAAGTAGTCAGTGTAATGATCTTCTGTTGATATGTGTTTTAGTAGTTAAATTCTTGGACTGTCATTGATCATGAAAAGTGCTGTCACATGGGTAGAAATCGGGTAAATATTGCAATTTATTAATATCAGCAGAACTGACTTAAATGGGGCCTGTGTGTTGTGTAGTCTTGTCTTAATATTTCTATTCATGCCTGTCAGCGTGAGAAGCTATTTGTATATATTTGCTTGCATATGCAACCACACTTAAGTTGAGGCCCTCAGCATGTTCTGTAAGTATCAGTGTGGCCCCTGGTGCTTCCAAAGTTGAATTGCCCTAGCTTATCCCTGACAGGTGTCTGTCTAACCTGGTCTTAAATATCTGCAATTTAAGCCCATTGCTTCTCATCCTAACCTCAGACACCAACCAGAACAATTTTTCTTCCTCCTCCTTATGATACTCTTTTAGATACTTG